CGTTCGTTATGTGAGGTGTTCGTTATGCGAAACACGATTTCCCATAGACTTCTATGGGAAATCATGTAATCCGTTCCACGTCGCCGCGAAAAATCAAGGAAATTAGGAAAAAATGTTTCACTTTCACTCGCGAACACCTCGCATAACGAACGCACCGCTGGAACGAATTGCGTTCGTTATGCGAGGTACTACTTTATACGCAGATTTCACTGTTTATTCGAAAGAACCTTTATTTGTGGCGTTTCGTTTAAAAAAAAAGTAAGCGCGGAAGGAAATTCCCAGGTGATAGGTATCAGGTCCACTTTTCTTCACACTTTATGGCGATTTCATCATTCCCAATACCTTACATTACGCTGAAATACGTATTGGAATCAGGTGAATTTGATGAATGAGAATCGGTGCCTATTCGTGTAAGATTTTTACATTTTTTGGAGGGCTAGGAGGGTTAATGATAGTTTCATCAGCGGTTCAAGGATCTGGTTATAAATGTTCGCTCCTTTTTAATAACATCGTTTATGACCTTTACCTAAAACCTTTGATACCTTAGAAATGTCTGTTTTCATCTCAAGTCCAAAATCGCGTAAATGGTAGTCTGCATTTGACATTCCATAATCATGGAAAGTCCAATATTAATATGCCTCGCGTTACTTAGAGACAAAGTATCGCGACTTAAAACTAGAAGTACCTTGTGCCAGGAACTTCTCTGGCAGCAATGGCAGGTCCTCTAATCGAAGGATAAACGACCAGAATTGCTTTAACGGATATACATTATGTGATTTCCACGCTACGACCTACCTTGAGGCCGAAATATAAACCATGTAAATATTGAATGCTATGAGCATGAAGTAAACTATAGATATCAATGCCACACGATTGAACCATATAGAGGTAAAATAGTCATTTCCAAGAAAATGCGGATTGTCTAAAGTGTCACCCCCTGGATCTGTTTATTTACTTTAATAAAGTGATTTAATGAGGCTAGTTTATGAGGATTACAACTAACCTACCAGTGGTACATCGAAGGGACAATTTCGAAGGAAAGCTGTATAGGCTCATGAAAGACGTGGCTAACATAACATTGTTTTGTGACGAACATAACCAAGCGATAAATGTCTCTAGTCACATTCATGTCCTTCATAGTATGAAGGTATGGCGACACTGTATCTTCCAGCTTTTCAGGTATTGTGTAAGTAAATTTAAATCATGGAAGGACAGTAGATGAAAGGAAAACGGAAATTACAGCGCTGAGAAGCCAAGAAAATATGAATCTACGGGATTTCCCATATGATTGGAAACATATGGAGTAAACTTAAAATTATACTACATGTCCATCATTGTTGTTGGACTTAAGGTATTCTTTCCATTTTTTTCTGGAAATTTTCTAAGGCACCTGGCGTGATTTGAGAGCAGGCTATAGTAATTCTTTCTTCGATAAGATGAATGTCACAAATATCTACCAATTACACAATAGCTTTTACATGTTCCCAAATATAAAGGTCAAGTGGTGAAGGGTCCGAACACCTTGATGATCACTCTCGGGGTCCACGACGACCGATGCAATGTCCGGAAAACAGCATATCATTATATATCATATTAACCGTACAATACATTAAGACAGGAATGAGCATTGCTCCATCTTGTTGCAATCATTCTGGAAACGCTGCCTCCTCATTTATCAGGCTACTAACTTAAATACATAATAGTGGGCTGCGGCCGCTACGCTGACCGTCTTATAGGCGGAAATTTGAATCGTCTATTGTGAGCAGAACGTCTCCTTGACGTGGCAGAACGTCTCTGTTCATCGCATTACCCATTGGGAACTGAACCACTTCATTAGATTTATACACATCCAGCTTACAGTAGATTAGATTAGTAGCTTACAGAAGATTTTAGTCCTAAACACCATTATCATGATATTTAAGCTCATTGCCACAATCGCCATTGTGAACGTCTCGTTTTAGCAGACTTTCATGAGACTCAAGACGACTTTGCTGATTTCGTTGTCCCAGCACATTCAATACTCTTCCATCACCGATTAGCTCATTGGCTATTAGCATTAGCTTATGGTACAGATACCTCTGAATTCCGAAACAGTATGGGCCATTTCCAAGAACGTGTTCGACTTTAGCACAGAAGGAAGTGAGCGGCACAATACTAACGAATAATTCCTGAAAATGCCTCGCCGCCACATTAGCACCAGTGAGCTATATTTTCAGAGACTTAGGGTAAAGTGTGACTTGCAGCAGGAGCACTTCTCCGTTATGGCAGCAATGTTAAACATATACCCCCTTCCTACAGCAAATTGTGCAGCCTGACAGTGCTCGCTGGGGCAAAAAAAAAATTATTTATTGAGATGACATGGAGAGGTATGACAAAATGTCGCGAATGTAATGATAACACACTTAACCGACAAGCAGGAGGTCTGGGTTCAATTCCTGGCTGCCCCTGCTTTCGCGCTTTCGACACCTAAGTGCTGCGTTCCTTGCATCAAGTTGCTCAGCAGGCTGCATGGCTCTCCTGTTCCTGAGCTCAGCATTCGCTGCCTCTTGCTGTTCAGCGGTCTGAGCGGCCTCACGCTCCCTACATACAGCTGCGCGCTGTTCATCACTCATTTTAGCCATTACGTCTAGCACCTCCTGAAGCACCGATTTAGACACTTCGCACCGCAACTGCAGTGGGAAACGTTGTTACCACGCCAGTACCAATCGCTTTTTTATCTGCAGCGACTGCCTCATCGTCGTCCTGTGGGACCTCCTTAAGCATTTTCTTTTCTCGTTCAACCTCACCTCGCAAAAATCGCCACTATTTTGATGGGAGGAGCGACCCGTATGCGCGGCATTTGAAACGAAGAACTTGCTATCATTTTGACTTCTTCAATCATGAGAACTAAAATAAATCGGCCATGACATGAAGCGCAAACAGGAAACAATTGCATGGAAGCGATGGCGCGAACCGGCACGCCTGACCTAACGAAAAACAAAATACAAATAGGAAAAATACTTAATCGAAGAATGTGGAGAATTTGCTGTCGATTAGTGAAAACGTGACGCGCATTCAATTAGTAGCACCCTTTGATTGACACAGCTAAATATGGAGCCTATGGAAATAATAATATGAGCCAAAGCCTATGACACATATGCATTGTTTATGTGCCATTAAGTGCAGAGTAGCGAGCAAAAAATTAAATATCAAGCCGAGAAATTTGAGATAAAACATAGGGTAACTTGGGGGAATATGGACACCAAAAATGAAATCAGGTTATAGCGTCACGTCTAGGTGAAATGAAACTTTGCCAATATTCAGAAAATATTGATTGATGTCTCCATTATTTATTCCCAACAAGATCCGTGCAGAAAAGTAAANAGAAGAACTTAGAAGTAATGGTTTCTGTATCCATGCTGCTATTAGGAAATATATGCTTATGTTGCTCAAGGCTCATATTAGTTCCACGGTCATGAGTCAAATAATCGTATGCATATGACTTTTAAGACATCGATGTATCCCGAATTCCTGTGGGAACTGGATCGATGAACAGGTCTACACATTTCGACAATTGCATGTACTCTTCGATAGAACTATTTTTTAAATTCGCCCAAACTAATTATTCAGTCTATAAGGGGATTCCTTGTGAAGGGCCATATTACCCCAATGGCCATATTCCCCCAAGTTACCCTATACAGTATATATGTACTCTAAGTCCGACTGCTTTCTTGGTCAAGATGGAACCACCCGCGTGTGAAACCACCCCTCATATGTCCTGCTGGCTGCTTTCCTACCTGCTCTGCTACCGGCAGAATGAGGGGTGATCAAAAGGTTCTAGGCCTGAATTTTTTAATTGCGCAGTGGTGACTTTTTCCGCCTACTGATTGATATATACTTCAAAATTAGTCTTATTCGTCGTCTATATAATTCTTCTGCGATTCTTTAGCCATTGGAATAATTGCTGACTTGCGTCTTTTGAAATCCCCAGCAGCACTCCTGGGGCGTTGGTAACGCTGCTTTAAAAGTCCTAAAATTTCCTTCCTATTCCGATTTCGGAGGTTTTTGATCTATCTCACAATCCCCGTGCTTCATGAGCAACACAAATCGCCGGACCTAGCTCCCAGGATTTTCTTCATTTTTTCCCTAAGCTAGAGTGCGCTGAAATTAGTCATTCATGCATTTAAAACAAAATTGTAAACGCGACGCCAGCCAGGCTGGTGATTCTAAATTATACATGTCAGCAATCTAGATGAAAAACGTAAAGGTGAAACACCCGACCAATACGCTGAATGGAACTCGAATCCGCATGGCTGCAGAGGGCAAAAATAGAGGAGAAAGGAAAAAAACACGAAAAGACGCCTCGAAGCAGAGAACTTATTATAATGAAGAGCATAATAATATAATATATAACATATACTAGGGAGTTAATTTGCCCTTCGGGCCAAAAAACTCTAACTCTAACTGTGGTCGCGCCTTCGGCGTTAAATTCATCCATTTATTTATTTTAAAAAGTAGCAAAAATGTATTGGAAGTATGTGCCTGTAGAAATGTGTGCCGAGAGAGAATAAACTGATATTTTCATGGAAATAATTATTCCGATTATTTATTGTTTGCCTAACTTCGAATTTTTTTCAGAATTTGCCCTAAGTATATTTGAAAAGTAGGATATGCACTCAACTATTAAACAGGTACTTCTACTTCAAGTTTCAACTTTCTTTAGTTCTCTCCCTCATTGGATGAGAAAATATTCTGGAATATTAGCATTTTCGCAAATTTCCCTTAGGGGTTTTACCAAAGAAGTATTTTTTTTCTTCCTGGAATCAGTACTCGGAGAACTACATGCCTACCTAGTTTCAGCTTTATCCATTTGCTCAGTTTGCTGGTGTAAAAATATTATTGGAAAAGCTAACGGAGCCTAAAGTTGTGCCCTGAAGATATGCACCACAAGACTTCCATTTTCTTCTGAACCCACTATCACCTGAGTTATTGTTGTGCCAAGTTTCAGTTTTCTATTTCTTCCCTATTCAGGACAATAAAATTGATTTGAAAACGTCACCCCACGAAAATATGCTCCAGGATGTGCATCCGAAAATTCGCATTTCCTTAAATTACAGTCTCAGTAGGCACTTTCATGTCAAGTTTCACGTTCCAGTTTGACTATAGAAAGAAAAACCACATTTGAAACATTCCCCCCCGAAATTCATGCCTCGGCATTTACGTTGAAAGTATGCATTTTTCTGAAATCAGGTTCCCTATAGGTACTTGTCTATCGAGTTTCACCTTTTATTTCTTCCCAATTCGGTAGGGCAAAAAATATTATTTGAAAACGTCACTCGCCGAAAATATGGCCCCAAGGCGTGGATATGAAACTTTACATTTTTTTCCTGAACTGAATGTCTCAGTAGGCACGCCCGTGCCAGGTTTCAGTTTTCCATATATCTCTCCGTTTGACTGAAGCCAATATACAGGGTGGCCAGAGTGTCCACCCATATATACTTACACTAGCCGACCAGTGGGGGACTTCCACGAACTCTTTGACAAGAGTTCCCGAGTTCATTAGGCGGTTCTAAAACTCAGCGGCTCTCTCAACGCTATAGACGCTGATCTATCCTTTTATTGACCGGAACACTGCTCTTGCATTGATCGGCACTTTTTCCTCTTGATCACAACCCTGCCTGCATCGTTCGTGAAGTCCATCATCATCACTTTTCATGCAAACCTGAGCGAAAAACACAAATATGGAAACAGGATGGTAACGAAGCGACCGGCAGCTTCCCACGGGGGTGTTCACGCTTACGATACGGACTTTAATCGAGTAGCACTCTAAATCCCGTATCGACCACCACCCTGTGCGTATCGTCTGTAAACTTCATCTCCACCAACTTCCATGTAGGTCTATGAGTGAAAAATACGCTTTAGAAACGGGATTGTTACTACGCGGCTGGCGACGACTTTCCGATCCTAGGGTAAGCGTTCCTGTTGTTTCCCATAACGATGGAATCTCGTCGTTTTCATGCTCGGCAGTCACTATCCTTGTGAGAGTGCCGATCAATACGAATACGAGGTTCTGATCGTTAAAGGGGCCGAAATCTCATCCCGGCAAGGAAGTCATCATTTCTCCAGCGGGATGAAAGGGGACTCGAAGTGTTATAAGCAGGGATATTTTACACGTCACCTCGAGGACGTCGGCATCGAAGCAGGAAAAATTTAATTTGCTTTCGCGGTCATGAGAAAAGGTTTGACAATAAGAAGCTTGGCGCTTGAGCAACGAGGGAATGTTGCTACCTGGAAGGCGGTCTTTGAAAGTCCCATCAGAGTCCAAAGGAAGTTTTGGCAATATTTTGGTCGTGGGCCTCATGCCAAATGTATTGACGTTGGCAGAAGGCTTTTTAAAGCACTTTCAAAATTCAGAAATACCACCATTTTTTGCAAAGATAATTCCAAATGATATGCTATCATTCAGTTAATATTACTTATTTTTTGTCCCAACTGTTTGGTAGATGTGACAATTTGAAATGGTTTAGTGACTTATGGGACACCTTGCATATATATGTTTCTCGACAACCTAAACAGCATAAAAATTTGAATAAAAAGAGTTCAAGTAGTCATGAAACATGCCTTAAAATATTAGGCGGATCAGTTTCACCAGAACCCTTTTTCATATAATTTTAGGACATGATCTCGAAAATCGGCCAAACGATTTATATTATTACCACTCTACAAACAAAAACAGCAACGAACATTGCAAATATGGAACAATCGGAGCATTAGTTTATCTTTGGAGACGAAGAGCAAAGTCATTGATACTTTTCAAAGAGACTCAAGCAGTGCATCGAAGCGTGAGGTGGCCATTTTGAAATGTATTGATTCTATTGTGATCCCTTGATTGTCAAGTTTGTTTTTGTTCTCACTGATTCAAAGAAATCATTTTCCAAACAATTATTTCATTTACTATCTTGCCCGTGTGTTTTAACCGCTCCATGCATTTTCCGATATTTTTGTTGAATAAAAGTACTTTTTAGGATTTATTGAGAAATACTTGGCAGTGTAAGAACTTGAGATGCTGAGTACTGTAAATTTATAGGCAAATGTTGTACTTACGCGCAAATTTGACGATGGCTACATGATGACGCAAATCATGGATCATATGAAACCAATCCGCCTGATACTTTAAGGAGTGCTTCCTGACTATTTGAACTCTTTTATTCAAATTTTTAGGCAGTTTGGTCATCTGATTGCTGAGGAAAGTATAAATATATAATGGTGTACTTTTTTTTCCGGGCATACGTATATAGTTGAAAACATTTCGCCCCAAGTTGTGTGCCCCCAGGCTAGTACCTTCAAAGTCTGAACTTTTCTGAGCTACTCAACCCTACATGATGCGCCAAATGTTCTTGCTGCGATATTTTTTGCTAGAACTTTGCAGTATTTCATCCCAATTCCATAAAATGTTATCAAACATAGCAAACATATATGGTAGCAAAACACTGTAAGGATTTTTTCGAAATGCCCACCGTCGGCTGAGATGCAGGCTTTCAACGGCTATGGAAATTTGTCCACAATGGACGTCACTGTTCAACCTCAATGTCGTCTCAAGCCGTAAGCAAACCCTGATGTGCGATGTCGTGCAGGCCTTCTTCAAAATGGACCACACGGCGTAATCCTTAGGGTGAGATCTGATGAGTTTTGAGCACCAGGTGTCCGTCCCCCGGATTCTCCATCGTCGTCTTCGCTCCGTGCGCTGGCGTCCAGTTTTCTTGCAGCGTCCATTCATTTTTGGCGAAATGGTCACGTGCCCAGGGGTCCAGAACTGCTCTCAAGATGCGGCCCTGATACACGACTACATTGTTCTTCATCCCTTTTTCCATAAAAACCAGAGGAGACGTGCCCATGGCACAAATGCCCGCCCACGCCATCACCGACTGCGACCTGCTCACAGTTGCGGCTCCTGAGAGCAGGTCTGGACTCCTGGGCATGTGACCATTCGGCAGTCTGGATTCGCTGAAGAAGGGTTGCTTAAGGATTGAAACGACTTTAACGATGAACAGCTGATGTCCATTGTGGACAAATTCCGATAGCGTTTGAAAACCTGTATCTCAGCTGACGGTGGACATTTCGAAAAATCCTTAAATGTGTTGTTGTCATATATTTGCCATGTTTGATAAAATGTTGATGGAATTGGGATGAAATACAGCTAAGTCATAACAAAAAATATCGCGGCAAGAAAATTTGGCGCACCCTATATATTGATAGCTACTCATGTACCAAGTTTCAGAATTCTATCTTCTATTGAACATGGTTAGCATTAGTCACCAAAGCGTCAGAAAAAATTGAGAAACGGAACTTTTTGATCATCTCTCCTAACTGTCGCCTCCCTATTGTAGATTCATTACATGACTGCCGTCAGATCGTTCAAGAATGGAGCCCAAAATCCTGCCGCTTGTCTTGAAAGCTAAATGAAAGAAAACGCTTTAGTATTCATGAAAATAGGCCAATATGGAAACTAATATATATAGACGATTGTGACTGACTGACGCTAATTCTAAACATGTTCTAGAGAAGTTAGAAATCTGAAACTTGGTCCACATCTACCTTTTGGGATGCTGAGTTCAGAAAAATCCGACTTTGAAGATACATGCCCTAGGGGTACATATACTGAGTGGAGAGGTTTTTAAAGATATAAAGATATAATGGTAAAATATGATATATTGTCACGGATTAGGATGGCATCGAGAGGATTGACTTGCTTCCCTGGGTTCGGTGGTGTAGTGGTAGCACACCTGACCGGTAATCAGGAGGCCCAGGTTCAATTCCCGGCAGTTCCTTGGCTTTCTTTTGGCCTCTTATGCCTCCCAAGTCCCGTTACTCATTCCCCTCCGTAACAATATATTTGCTTTACTAAAACGGAAAGACATGGAAAGCCGAAACTCGGCATGGTTATGCCTACCGAGACGATGAGTTCAGGAAAAATGCACAATTTAAGATCCATGCCCTGTGGGGGGCATATTTTTAGGGGCCGACGTTTTTCAAGTATTTTTTTTGCCCTGGCGTATTGAGCTGGTGTGGAAAGATGAAACTTGGTACATAACTACCTATTTGGATGCTGCGTGTAGAAAAATTCAGACTTTGGAAGTAAATGCCCGGGGCACAAATTTCAAAGAGAGATGTTTTCAGATAATTTTTTGCATCAGTTAAACTTATGAACATGGGAAGCAGAAACTTTGCATGAATGTGACTACTGAGAAAAGGAGTTAAAGAAAAATGTGGGAATATGGAAATGGAAAGGTGAAAGTTGGCGCACGTATAAGTGACATTGTATATTTGAGCTGAGGGAGTATTCACCTATCATGGTGCATCCACTCCAGGCATAGCTTTCGGGTGCGTCGGTTTTTCCAAACATGTTTTTTCACCAGCGAAAATGGCAAACGAATGAGGTTGAATCTTTGTGGGCATGTAGTTCTCTGGGTGTTGATTTCGGTAAAAAAAAGTAATTTTCTGTAAAAACGCCTTCAGGCACATATATTGGAAAGGGCGTATTTTCTCGTATCTCTGATCCAACAAAACAAAGGGCGCAATTATGTTTCAACTTTGCAAAGAAGAACCTGATGTATAGCTGAGTAAATAAAAAATTATACGTTTAATATTTACTTGCGAGTTCCTAAAATCCTACCTTTGAAATATGTCCCATGAGGGTAGATTATAGGAGGGAAGTATTTCAAAATGTATTCTCCACCCTTACAAAAAGGGTCTCATGAAATGATTTCAACTTAGGCACACTAGAAATAATAGAAGCAATGATTTTGATCAAAATGAAGGCTTTCGTCCTCATATGTAAAGTATTTCAATGGGGACGCACCTTAACCCTCATCAGGGCAAGCTTTTTTACAACCTATTCCTGGCAAGGTGAGTCTGTTAGACTCATGTAAAATAAGGCCGTTTGTTGCGGTTACGGTACGTATTCTTATTAATAACAGTACTCTAACTAAAATAATACGGACAATTTATTCAAAGGTCCTGATAGTTTTAAAAAATAATATCAGTAATAGACCGAAATATGTCGTAGTGAGTCCAGCGGACTCACCTTGCCCGGATTAGGGTTAAATGCGTGTTTGCCATTTCGCAAAGAATAAATGAATTAATAACTATCAAAGGTAATGGAGCGCCGAAGGCGCGACCAAAACGTTAAATATATATATTAATGGTTTTTCACGCGTTTCCCCATACCCTTTTAATAAATACTCACCCTCTTGAATCCTGTTCTGTATCCCTTGGATGATTGCTTCCAGGGCACCTCTCTCCTTCAAGACTTCTTTGCTAAGTTGAAGACTCACAGACTTGCTTTGCCGAAATTTCAAAAAGAAATCATTGAAACTAGTAGCACCTAGTTTCCAAAACATTTCGTCAAATCGGTAATCCTCGGAATTTCTGTCGTTGGATGTGTATAAGGCTGAGTTATTGAAGCGAAAGTATGCCTCATGATGTAGATTTCCTTCATTCACAGCCTGGAGAACAGGTGGTGCCTTGCTATCAGCAAATGTGATCATCAAATAAATACTATTGACAGCGTCTTTTCCGAAGGCAGAAAGTATGGAGTCAAATATGTATTTCTCAGTCGGGGTTAATCTAGCATTAGATGCTTGGAGAACGAAGCCGATTCCATGCAGAAAATCCGGACCTTCGGGTTGACTATTGGAGAAGAATTTTTGAAGCTGGGTTGTGATGCTTTTGTCTCCAATTAATCCACTCGTGTCGCCGAATCCTGGTGTGTCCACGATGATGAGGTTATAGGGTTCTCGACATCCATTTAGCCAGGTTAATGTGTAAGCAGTGATCCACGACGTCTGACTGTGAGCTTTTGATTTCATTTTGTTTTCGTTGTCAGGAATCAAAACCAATCGGTATGGGTCTTCCCACTTGACTCCGTAATAGTGATTGACGATGGCGTTCACCAACGTTGTCTTGCCTATGTCAAATAATGAAGTCAGCGCTGAGAGTGAGTTTTACCAATCACTGAAATTGCTTTTAATTGTGAGATGAAACTGCACCTGCGCCAGTCGCCCCAAGGAGAATGATCACCTTTTCCTCCATCCCAATAGGCTCGAATTCCCACGCCAGCTTGAATCTTGCAGTTCGACTTTCTTCATCTCGACTTACCTCTTGATATTGTATTTGGTACAAGGATGGTTTGCCTTTTTGGATGCATTTACTTTTTTCTATAAAGCACTGTGCTGGACTCCACTGAGTCTGCTGTTCAAGTGAATCCTTCTTCAGAGCCTGTGGTTTCATATTTTCATTTAAACTCTGTACGTTATATGGCATCAGCATTTTCGCATGACTAGAGGTCGGAGACAAGGGAGAAGGAAGAGAGTCATTCTTCATGGGTTGTTCAGTCATGAGATCTCGGTTGAGAGTTATTCCGTGGGCTCCATACCCGAGAGTGGGGGAAATAGTCACCTGTATAAAAGAGGGGTGAAACACACTCATGAGAAGAAATGCATGGCTTCGCTTTGCAATGAAAAACAACACTTCGCAAGGGTACTCCTCCTCATAAAACTTTTTCGAGGGAGCTTCACTGACCTTGAGAGATTGTACTCAAGCTTGTACGAAGTAAATGGAGGTAATATAGTGAAAATAATTGATTTTTGAAGGTATGAAATAGCATGTCAATCATGCCTTGCCTTCAGGGTTGATCTGAGTGTTTCTCTGCAACCAATTTAAAAGTTATTCCCTACCCAACAATTTTCGTGTAGGTACTTCACTCTTTCCTGACCGGCCTGCAATAAAGGGGCTGACAACAATAACGATCTCCACGTTCACATTATATTCAATCTTCCTTCATATCAAAGACAACTGACTTGCAATTTCATACATTAAGTGTTCTGCAAAATAATAGGAAAGTAATAACACGAATCTGGCTGGTCTCACGCAAAACAACTTGCCACCATATATTAAATTCATTTAAACTATGTTTTTACCGAATTTTGCGTTTCGAAGACAGACCTAAACATCTATCGAGTTTATGTTCACTCTTTTGCTTTTGTCCAGCCGTTATTATTGTCTGGAAACAGGGAAGATGTAGAGAAACGACATCAACTTGTTATCAATGCAACAATTCAAGAAAAACTAGCACCCTGTGGCTGTTACGCTGGCTCTCTAATGGGCAGATATTCGAAAATGTTTACATAAAAATATGATGCAGTTCGGTTGAAACCAACTTCGAGAATTTCGAAAGTGTTGCCGCCCAGCTAATTTTATCGTCAAGACCACACCCACAAATTAACCACGAATGAAAGACGAAGGAAGATCGGGAGATGCAGAGAGATATCTAATGTTCGGCCCGTACCCCAGGGGAGTGTTATTTCCGAGCTCAAGCAACCAATGTGCAAACTCAGCTTCATCAGCGTTAACACGTACTAGCGAGTTTGATTGCCCTTTGGGCAAACAAACTCTATAGTCGTGCCTTCGGCGCTGCATTACCTTGGATAGGGATTAATTCATTCATTTTTGGAGAAATGGGAAACACGCATTTAAAGTACATCTCCATTGAAAAACGTGACATATTAGATCGAAAGTTTGGATTTTTATCAAACTCTTTACTTCCATGGTTGTATGTGTGCCTAGCTTTAAATCTTTTCTTGTGTTCCTTTTTGTAAGGGTGGAGAAAACATTTTGAAATGCTTCCCTCTAATCTATGCTAAGGAGACACATGTCAAAAGTAGGATTTTTCCTGTACTTAGCCATTAAACAGGTACTTCTGAGGTAAGTTTCGATTTTTTGTCTCTATTTCGTTGGATGGAAAAAAATTCAGGAAAATGTGACTTAAAAAAAGAGCCCTGATGTGTTTTAGAGAAAAAATGTTTTTCTTCTATAATGGTTACTAGGGGAACTCCATACCACCCAGGTCCAGCTTTGTACGTTTCCCCATTTTGATTTAGCGTCAGTCAGACACGATCGACTATATATATTAGAAAAGTAGATTTTTTTCTTTACTCAGCTATCCATCAGGTACTTATTTGCCAAATGTTTTAACTTTCATGCGCCCTGTTTTGCTGGGTTAAAAAATTCGTGAAAATAAGCCTTTTGCAAAATATGTACCCTGAGCCGTCTTAACCGAACAGTACCATTTTTTTATTACCGAAATCCATCCTCAGTGAACTACATGCCCACAGCGTTTCAATATTATACGTTTGCCCATTTCGCTGGTGAAAAAACATGTTTGGAAAAGCCGACCAAACTTAACGCTATGCCCGGAGGGGATGGACCATGAAAGTTGAATACTCCTTCATCTTAATAATACACGTATTATGTCAATGATACATGTGCCAAGTATAACCTTTCCATTTTTGTCCAATTCGCCCCGACAAAATTGTTTTTTTAAACATCGCCCCTCAAAAAAATTCCCCCAAGAGATGTATCGAGACTTAACATTTTCCTTTAACTTCTTGTCTCAGTAGTCACATTCATGCAAAGTTTCAGCTTTCTATGTTCATCAGTTTAACTGATGAAAAAAATTGTTTGAAACCATCTCCCTTCAAAATGTGTGCCCCCGGGGCATTTACTTGCAAAGTCTGAATTTTTTTGCATGCAGCATCCGAATAGGTAGTTATGTACCAAGTTTCACGTTTCCACCCTAGCTCAATAAGCCAGGCCAAAAAAATTACATGAAAACGTCGGCCCCTAAGAATATGCCCCCAGAGGGCATGGAATTTAACTTTTACATTTTTCCTGAACTCGGTAAGCACGTCCATGCCAGGTTTCAGCTTTCCATGTCTCTCCGTTCTACTTAAGCAAAAATAAGGTTATGGTGGTTGAATGAGTAACAGGACATGGAAGGAAAAATAGGACAAAAGAAAGCCAAGGAATGGCCTGGAATTGAACCCAGACCTCCTGATTGCCGGTCAGATATGCTATTACTACCCCACCGAACCCAGGTCATCAAGTTGGCTCTGAATGCCATCCTCATCTGTCACAATTTATGTTTAAGAAAACGTTTCCCCCGAAAATTTGTACCCCTAGGTATGTACCTCCAAAGACGGATTTTTCTGAACTCTGCATCCCAAAAGGTATATACGTGCCAAGTTTCAGATTTCTAACATTTCTAGAACATGGTTAGAATTAGCGTCAGTCAGTCAGTTACAATCGTCTACGAGGCTTGTATGAAAAGTCATGCGTGTCCCGCAATAAAAATTTGCATATTGCGCGCACGCGAAAAATGCCTACAAATTCTGAAAGCCCCATCAAAGAGGAACGCAACGATGTATAACATAGGCTGGTTGCTAATATGCAAATGTAACAGTCGTGGGAGAAACAGAGGCAGGTAGCGGCAGTTTCCCGATGAGTACTTTTAAAAGGAAAAGAATGCTTCATAAGTTGAGAAATGGAGCAGAGAAATGCCATTTTGTTTTCGTTTCGACGGGNCTTCGGACGCCCAGAACGCCGTCGATCGGAAAGATCGAAGTCGCCGTTTCGGAAGCGTTGGAACCACCGCCGGACCTGCGACACAGTGAGCGCATCCTCGCCGTAAGCAACTCGGATCTCACCGTGTGTCTGGAGAGCCGAATTTCCCCGTCGAAACGAAAACAAAATGGCATTTCTCTGCTCCATTTCTCAACTTATGAAGCATTCTTTTCCTTTTAAAAGTACTCATCGGGAAACTGCCGCTACCTGCCTCTGTTTCTCCCACGACTGTTACATTTGCATATTAGCAACCAGCCTATGTTATACATCGTTGCGTTCCTCTTTGATGGGGCTTTCAGAATTTGTAGGCATTTTTCGCGTGCGCGCAATATGCAAATTTTTATTGCGGGACACGCATGACTTTTCATACAAGCCTCGTATATATCAATATATTAGATGTTTTTGGTTAAATGAAACGTGTGGAAATGGTCCCAAAGCGGACTCATCGAGATGTACCTAGCAAGAATATGGCCGCGCGACGCCTTAGGGACAATTGAGTGAAGCAGGCGAAAAGTTCCACTTAACACCATCACTTTATCACCAAGTTGAACGTTGCGACGCATCAGATCGCCACCGCTTTCAGCCTCTTTTAATTTGCATTGACGAGGATGCAGTGCATTTAAGAAAGTATGAAAGTTTTTATTGCCTCCCCTATGGCCTATAATGGCCTGGCAGTGTACGCCGCGCGCGTTAGAAGTGACAGATACCACAACCTTCGACCTCTCACAATTACATTATTGGATATTTCATATCAAGCTAAATAAAGTCACTGGAAACCAAGAAAGACATTTGAATGATAACTGCAAACGTTTTTTGTAAAGCAAACATTCATATACAAGCGCCGGCTTCCAGGATCTAGTTCATTACTATTGGGGTGTATTGACATTCATATCATTATCGTTATCCGAGCTTAGCCTTGCGTCTATGATTGTATGTTTGGTGAAGGAAGGATGTCAGCTCTTTACTCCTCTCCTCTGATATGTTACTTAAGTACGCCAACAGGCTCTCGTAGTCCTTCAGGTCTTCAAAGTCATTTTTCGCTTGAATTGAGAGATATTTTTGGTTTAGTGGCATTCATTTAATAGGTGAAGGCGAGAATCGGGCTCATAACATATTGGGCAGATGAAATCCTTCCCATAAATGATCGAAAGTGATCAACGAAAAGGTGCTAGCAAGAATGTCAGCATGATGCCCAGTTTTCTATCTGTTTTGCGAAGGGTGCTCATGAAGTGTGCCGAGTCCAGTAATCCTTGTACTTGTTGGCACAAGGATAATGTCTCAGTTTCTCGCCTACATTGTACTTAGTGATATGTTCGGATTGATCTTAGCAGTACGGGAACAAAACTTTTCGTTGGGGGACAGAAGTACCAGACATAGCTATATCCATATTGTTGGAATTCACTAATAATAACCTTCAACCAGCAATCCATCCCTCTATGCAGTAGAATTCCTTGTTCTTTTAGCGCTCATGAACTTGAGCGAGACTCCTCCAAGTATTTTCCAGAATTTGAAATATCTAGCCGCCGCCTGCGCTTGGAAAGAGGTTTCTTCGGCTGACCAAAGTAACGGTGCTCTGGGAAGCTATTGGGGAGTCTGAAAAGCAACCAGAGGAACTGGACTAACGGAGTATCCAGTTCCTTCCATAGGATCTCTCTAATAATTTTCGCCCCATATAAGGCCACTGAAGAGACAAGAGCATTGAACATTTCAAGTGCATGACTGGTAGACAAACCGTGAGCCTGCGATACAATCCTCCTGTTACCACCAGGAACTGTCCATTGAAAAATGCACTCCTAGATATTGAAAATTGGTCCCTGCTAGCATTTTAT